CCTGAACTGAACAATTTTAATATTTTTAACGTCTGACAATGTATATGATAGATACATATTTTAGTTATTTTAATATGAGAACAAGGCATGCAATGAACTAGTTTGGCGTGGATAAGTAAGCACCTGAAGATGGCATTATTATGCCGAAACATGTAGTGCGAGGTAGAGAAGGAGATAAATGAGTGTATGCACTACAAGACGGTTTAAATAAATCATGGACTTATTTTATGAATGTTATACCGAAACTTCTTGATAAGATTTGAGCAAAATATGTTGGATCATAATACCTCAACATGCCTTCTACACTTGAGAGGAGAAACTAAGTCTTCAGATATCTCAGTGAATATTTGAAAAGGATTAGATCAAAACTGTAGAACTGTAGAAATAGGTTTTAACTCATTAAGAACTGGTGATTTAAATATTTAAATCATCCTGGGGCTGCCATTATTAAACCCACTATCCTATCTTGTGCACTGTTCACTTTAAAAATTAATATAAAATCTCCTAATTAATTTTATGAAGTAAAATTTTTGGAGAACACTTACCAGTGCTCCTAGAAGTGCTTGAGGATGTGATATTTCTGGAAACATTCCCCTTTGTGAAGTGGCATTACAGAGAACTTGCAAATGTAGACATACTCCTTTTTTTGTCAACTGTGCATACACGGCATTGCCTAGAAGGATCCTTCCCCTTTGAATGTTCACTCTTCACAATTTTCACGAGGGTATGCTTCCACATATCACCCGAGAGTCGCTCTGGGGGGTTCACGTGAGGCCTGAGTGGGGTGGGAGTTGATGGGCCTGGTCATACTAAGTCTGTGTCTGACTCTGGTTCTGCCACCACCATCTGGTCTGTAGCCAAGGCCTTTGCCACATTCATCAGAAATGCTCTGTATTTCAATTTCAAATCAGGGTTTAGTTTTTTGTGATTTTTTTAGATTTTTTTACTGTCCCTGCAATGTTATTACCAGCATTATTGACGGAGCTACTGTCACTTTTACTGTCTGTGGCCACAATTATTTGTTCTCCCCTGTCACTGCCACTCTCTGAATCACCATGACAATGCATCTCAGAAGGTAGGTCAGCTAGCTCATCGGAGAAGAATANCAGTCGTCCAGCCCGTATAATAAAATTTGGCTTAACCGGGTTTTCGATTAACCGTGACTTCCATCCCCACCATTAGCCCGGATAATCGAGAGTTGACTGTAGTCTTAAGAGCAGCAAAGCATTTTCCTTTATAGTGGANATGTCCTTGTACATACTCCACCACTAACTATTGGCTGATACATATAGTCTTAAGAGCAGCAAAGCATTTTCCTTTATAGTGGGTTAAGAAAACAGCAAGGTCAAGTTACTGACAAGTAAGCAAACATTCCAGAGTTTTATTATGCAGCTGTGTGCAACCTGGGTGGCACCAGAGTAAGGTATGGTGTGTTACAACCTAATGTGTCCTAAAATCATGATATCATGTGACCGGTCCACCATGTTTAAAAGCCAAAAGCATGATATCATGCAACCGGTCTTTAAATTGTTATGGCGTGGACTAGATTGATCTGTTATGATAGGGCTCAGACTAGGTTTCCATGAATACAGTAATGAACATGTTCTAAAGTGTATTGACCAACTGAGGAGTATTAGCTTCTTAAAAAGATTCTGGCAAACGAACTTGGTCAGTTTAGAGAGAAAAATATTCCTCTGTAACATGATAAGTTGGTTCTGAGAACCAATGGTGAAATTACTAGATTTTATTATAAGGCTTTCTGGAACAATTTTCCTTGTTTTGTGGAATCAAAGGATTATCACTGTGTTACAAAAAGCTTGTCTTTAGCCAGTTCACATGTATACAACCAATTTCAATATCATCCATTCATCTGGACCTAAGTCTCGCAAGTAAGTGATGCCCTTCATGTTTCCTAACAAACATTTTGTGTTTCCCAGTGTGTGCTACATATCACATCAATTTTCCCTTTCACAATATTAGGTGAAGAGCGTAAATTCTTAAACTTCTTATATAACTCCATTCTTCAATTAGTTCTTCTCTTTAAGTCAATATAAGACATTTTCTCCTTAGAAGCCTCTGATCTAATTCATTCCTCAAGAGAGACAATTAGATTCCTTCAAAAATATGAAGGTGTGTTTGTTTTGTGTAGCATTTTCTCAGAATTAGAAGCTTAAGGTAGCAAAAGATTCAAATTCAATGCAAAGCTAGAATTTCACTTGAAAACCTGAGCATTAACAGGTCTCATATTTTAATGTTTAGGGTATTTATGGTTAAACATATATCAATATCTATACCTCACCATAAGTAGCTTGGCTGTGGAAGGCTGAATCATGAGAAAGCAGGTCCAACATCTCTGAATCACTGAGTCCAGTTTTTGTTGCTGTAACCAATGCCAGAGCATGTTCCACCTGTGAAATTAAATAATACAGCCTTTATAGCAACATTTAACATAAGTGTCACAAATATATATTTAACACTGAACACAACATACACTTAGCGTTAAGCAGGTGCAAGCCTATTTAGATTAGTGTTCCACCAAGCATATAAATAAATACATAAATAAACACAACATACCCTTTCCTTGCCCAGAATGACTTCCAACTCTTCCAGCATAAGATGAAGTTGGTCCATAATATTTCCCTTTGGCACAATGTCATGGTCTTTATCTGTCCACCAGGATGTCTGCCATGCCAGAACCTGTACAAATATGGAACACCATGTGATCAAGAAATAAACCTATAAGCGAGTAAAACCAGATGGTTTGGTCTAACAACAATGCTCTTGATTTGCATATAGGAGGTACTCAGCTTGAATCGTGGCTGGGACACTGGCTATTCTGATGGGTCTTTTGCAGCTTTCCTCAGCGCTTCCAGGAAAATGCTATGGTCATACCTTGATCAGACCATTATTGTTTCCTTCTAAATCTCTTACAATTCATTACGAGTATTCACCTATCACACTACTATTTGACACCACATAATTTACCTGCTGCTAGAAATATAACATAACCCTCCTCCTATAAAAGTCAGTTGGGGCATGAAGCTCAACACTCACCTCCACCTAGTACCATGGTCAAGTTTACTTGGACCTATGCATCCACTCCCTCATACATCTTCATGGCGTACTGCATAATTAATTAAATATGTGGACAGCTTTACAAAGTTGGTAAATATTTACTCAAGGACAAAATGAATAGATAAGTACTTACAACATGGTTCAAAATAAGACACACAGAAACAAAGACAAATTAATGCAAACCAAGTCACATAAGCACATTAATTATATTTGTGTCCTCTCTACCCTTCAGTACTAATCGTTTTAAGACTATCCTTGGCAAACCTTTTTTTCATAAGGGAAGTTTATCGAATTCTGTTTGAAGATTACTCTCTTCTGGTAGGTGGTGTAGTGTAGTAAATGTTCATAGGTATTTTGAAGGAATGTACTGTCTCTTTCTTCAGAGTGGAAGATTCAGCTCTTCTACCCTAAGATGGAGACAGCATGTTCTTCCAAAACATTGTTAAACATCTGCCAGATTACATAGTGTAACATCCCAGAAGACAGTAAGGGTCATAGCCACTGCTGTGATAACTTCAAATCACATAAAATTCTGCTTTATTTCTGTTCTCTCCATTTATGGCCTTTGGAGGTCTCTGGACGTACTCATAAACTTGGATTCTGTGTGTTCTGAGTGACTGATTGATAGTGAATATGATGGCCAACAGACAGGATATATAGCTGATATGGATTTCAATCCATAACAGAGGCTTGGTATTCCCCACATTTACTTAATACTGAATTTATTCGAGGTGGGGAATGTAGAGGGCATAAAATTAGAATTCATACTGAGCCCAGCCATTCACAACCCAAGAATTCTGAAACAATATTCCACTTTACACCCAGGGGCTACCAACTCTCATGATTAATCAATTCTAGTCTGGCACAACTTTTAAACATACTTCCCAAAGAAAGCAGGTTGATGTAATCAGCCTCTATTTTATGGTAAAATAGCTACATACTTAAATACACCAGGACTTCATTATAGAGAAGCACATAGAACCAGAAGTATTAAACAGGGAAACATAGCAACAAAATTCTATTCTGTAGAAGAGGCATCAGAATCCAAGAAGCTGTGGAAATGATGTACCCCATAATTTAGTATAAGTATATATAATTATGAACAACATTAAAGATTATTAAGTTTACTTAAAATTGTGGATAAAATGCACATTAGTGAAAATATCCCATATCAAATTTTACCACAATCTGTGGAAGGGTTTGTGGACTAAATGAAAAACTTGGATGTCATAGCCATTCATGAGCTGTATATAGTAGTTTGTATATTTTTTGGAATGTTGTATTTATATATTGCTTATGATTGTAACAAATTTTGGTAGTATGCTTGTAACTTTGTAATTTATTTTGTTAACTTGTATTACTGAATGACATGTCCAAGTGTTACTATGTAGCAAAACGGATGAAATAAAATAAAATACAATACAATACAAAACGTAAACTAGGTTTCATTAGGGGCCAATATGACTGCAAAATAAACTGCCTGACAACTTTTGGTGGAAGTCTCTGATATCAAATTTTAACATAATTTGTGAAGTAGTTTATGGAATATGTGGAAAGTCCATTTATGGCCTTATGTAAAACAGGCAGTATTACAGATCAGTATAGCTGAAAACTGGAAGTGCAAACAACTTTTTGTGGATGTCTCCCATATCCTAAGTTTCAACAATATCTGTAAAACGGTTTATGAGATACATGTTAAAGTCTGTTTATTTTTTTTTTCTATTTCTCTGCGAATTTACTATCTACTCACTACAGTAAGGAGCAATAAGTAAATTGGTTAAAAGTAGGAACGTGAGTAGAGAATCAACCAGCATCAATGCTCTTAAACACAACTGATGCTAGAATGAAGTCTGTTTATGGCATTATGTAAATTATGTTTTATTATGGCTCAAAAGTGGAATTGCCCAACAAGTGTTAGTGGAAGTCTCTCAAACCGAATTCCAAAAATATCTGCAAAACAATTTGTGGTATACATGGGAAATACCATTTAAGACTTTATGTAAACTAGGCTACATTGTTATTGTTGCTGCTGTTGTAGTCATCTCCATAATAATAACAACAACAACAACATCAATA